GTCATTCTACAGACAAGGACCCTGAGGAAGCAAGTGACTGGACCACACAGTCAGTGGTGGGATAGGGTGCTGAATCTCCAGACCCTCAGTCTGGGGCTCTTTGTTTGTGTAGACAAGGCTGCTTCTCACTTCCAATTTCACTTCCTAATTGTAACCCAGAGATAGCCAGGAGTTTCTCATGGAATCTGTGAATGTGCTTGTCATGAAACACTAATCACTGCCAGGATTTAAGGTAACATAGAAATAGTCAAAATAACTTTTGGGCAAGAGCCATGAATCCCAATGGGAATGGGCTGGGATAAGTAGTGATGTTAATCAAACTTTTCCACATCAAAAGTGTGAGTCAGATTCAATATATAAATACCTTTAAAAAGTTACATGCAGAGGAAGTTTAGTTTTAGTACACATAGACCATTTGTTTGCATCCCTTTCAGAAATAAGGGGGGTGGAAGTTACGTCTTTTGAATTATATTGATCACTAAAAAAAGGAAAACCATCTGCAGGAGGGTTTTTTTCCTTGTGGACTGCTGTCCTGTATAATATTTCTGATGAAGCTTGAACTTCCAGTGCAGCAGAAGAGAAGAGCAGAGTGTGTCTTTTCCCTTTATCTTGCTGCATTCAGAAAATTCCACCTCTATCTCTTTCCTCTGCTAGTGCCTCTGGTCCCAGTTCCTTCCTGAGGCTTGTTGCTCCAGGTACTCTATAGCCAGGTAGCAGTGGCTGTGGGTCTGGGACCTGTGGGGACCTCCTGTGATAAAGTACAGAGCACCCTTAAGGAGAAAGGAAACATTAGAGTCAGCTCTTCAAGGCTCCCGTTCTCCTGCCCATCTTTCTCCTAGGATGGACTGAGCTAAGCTAAGCAGAGAGGCTCAGAGATGTGCCTTGTAAACTTCAGAAGTTATCCTATTCACCACATTTAGGGTTTATTCCTGCCTGCTTTGTGTTACCTCCACCCTACCCTCCGCCCCTGAAGCAGGGATGTTTGTGGCTGAATGAGGAGAGTGGAGTAGGTGGGTGTGTGTTTACAGCCTTTTCTGGGCTTGTGTCTGGGGACTAGAATGAGCTGGATGGGAACCTTATAGAAGTTCCCAGTCTATTGAGGAGATGATAATTGCCTATCTGATGGCCTCTGGTATAAAGTGGTGCCAGAGCTGAGAGTTTCTTCAGTACCTCTCAGATGCCAGCACTAGCCCTAGGCTAGTGCATCAGTGAGAAGAAGCAGGGTCTGAGCTGAGATGATGATTCTGTCCTCTCTGGAGAGGCCATTGTCCCCAAGAGGCATTCATGTGTTGATTTACAAAACACTGTTGAGTTTCTCTTTGCCTGTTTAGGGATTTTTATGCAACGGGATCTCCATTCCTAGAATTCACTGAAAGCAAATCCCTGACATACCCTCTGCAACTCATCATGTTAATGAGAAAGAAGGGCTGGAGGCCAGCCAGGGTACCCCCTCCCTTAGCCATGTCAGGATGGCTATATTGATTGCAGAGTCTGATGGAAGATTATGGCGATGGATGGGGATTCACTTGGCTTTTGCAAGGCTACTGACAGTGGAGAAATAAAGCTCTGTCTCTGGAGCCTGTCTTCTTAACTGGGCTTCCAGCCAGATCTTCCTTGCCACCCCACTACTCCCCCTAGTCCATCATGCACACCCAGCCAGATCTGGCTTTCCTGAACACCTCTTAGTCACAATCCCCAATTGCTTAGAACCCCTTAACAGGTCCTCTTGGCCTGGACTCAGGGCCCTACAGGATTAGGTATACATCTACAAACGATTGCCTTTACAACCTTGTCACTGATAAGCCTGCACCCTGCCCTACTGTCTAGTCAGATGGGGGTCTTCTCATAGTCCCCTAAAAATTCCAGGCTTATTTGTACTTTCATGCTTTTCCCCATGTCTTCTGAGTTCACCTCCATCTGCTCAAATTCAGTTCCTCCTTGAGTACTTGGCTTATGCCACACCTCCCTAACCATTGGCCCACATGGCTTCGCTCCTCCCCTCCCCTCCCCTCCTTCTTTCTTTCCTTCTTTCTTTCGAGACAGGGTCTTACTTTGTCACCCAGGATGGAGTGCAGTGGTGCAATCTCAGCTAACTGCAGTTTTGAGCTCTGCTTAGGTGATCCTCCTGCCTCTGCCCGGCAAGTAGCTAGGACTATAGGTGTCTGCCACCATGCCTAATTTTTGGCACTTTTTTGTAGAGGTGGGGTTTTGCCCTATTGCCAGGGCTGGTCTTGAACTTCTGAGCTCCAGCAATCTGCTAGCCTTTGGCCTCCCAAAGTGCTGGGATTACAGGCATGAGGCACTGCACCTGGCTGGCTTTTTGTTGCTGTTGTTTTATTTCAACTTTCTATCGCTTTTAAAGTTAACTGGTTACATTTTGCCTTCTCTACTCCCCTAGCTGTACAGTAGCCCATTTCTCTGATGTGTAATACCTGAGAGCAGGAGCTATTAGACCCTCCAGATCAGGGCAAAATGTGTGAGAAGAGTACATGGTACTTCTTGGGTAAAGGACGAGAGATGGATGCCTGAAATAATGAACTCTCTCTGGACAAGTTAAGAGCATTTCCTTCTTAACCTGGTGTTCATGTACCCATTTTAAAGTGAGGACTAGAGGTATTGATGGGGATGGGGTGGGGCGGGATGGAAGCAGGATTCTCAGAAGAGTTTCCAGTATAGCAGTGATGATGAACAGGATTGAGATGGAGCAGGTGCTAGGTGAAAAAACAAAAACAAAACCCAAAGAAAACAAGAAATTGAATTTGACATACCTTAGTGAAGGAAGGTGGGTATTACTGGATTGAAAAAATATTCCTTGAAAGTTTGTATCTACCTGAAATCTTAGAATGTGACCTTACTTGGAAATAGGGTCCTCGAAGATATAATTAGTTAAGGTGAAGTCATACTACATTAGGGTGGGCCTTAAATCCAAAGACTGGTGTTCTTATAAGAGGAACAGAGGATACACAGAAAAGCAGACCATGTCTTCCATGCTGTCTTAGATGGAGGGGCCCATCCTGCATTCAAGGTAGCCTCAGCATGATGGGAAGCCGTGGGCTGAGCCATCCCTGCAATGTGCAGGAGGGAGAAATCACATCAGATGGGATCTCTTGAATGTTCACATTTGCAGAAGGAATCTGGTTAGATTGATCATCAGGAATAGAAGACGTCTGTGCAGGGAGAAGGGTGATGGGGAGTGTACTGTGGTGGTTTTGTGAAAAAGTGGATGGGATGTGGGTTTGCTTTGATGTGGGTGAAAAGAGAAGAGAAGGAAATGAAGTGTGAAATAACCTTGTTGGTTTTACCAATGAATAGTATGTAAGAAAAAGGTCTTTTTTTTTTTTTTTTTTTTTTTTTCTGGGATACCAGGTAGCTCTGACTATCTGTCAGATGGAATCACATCAGGCAGAGGGTTGGGGAAGAGACAGCTTGGCCTTTGGAGGATTTCCTTAGGCACCACTCCAGCACCTTCTTTCTCCCTCTCAGTGTAGGAGGTGGTGAGGGATAATGGGATGTACACTGGGAGCCTTCCCTGGATCCCTGCATTGTCAGTGCCCTGTCTGAGCAAGTCTGTCCCATTTTTGGATCCTTGGTCTTCTCCCTTGTACAGAAGGCTTACAAAGTTTATGTGAGCATTGAGAAAAAACATTTTGTAAACCTTAAATTGCTGCATAATATTGTATCCTATAATTATCCAAGGACTCAGAAGGAAGATAGGTGTAGTTTTAATCCTTGGGGTTTGAGGGAGGCTCACATACTGCTTGAAAAGTAATGCAGGTTTCAGTTTGAGATGATAAAGTTCTAGAGATGGATGGTGGTGTTGGTTGCACAACAATGTGAAAATGTGAATGTACTGAATGCCACTGAACTGTACACTTAAAAAGGGATAAAATGGTCTTTTTATCTGCTACAAATTTTACCATGATAGAAAAGTCACAGCTCCATCCCTCCCCCCCAAAAAGTAATGTTCATACAGGACAAAGCTGATACGTGAGTAAATTTTCCAGTCCAGATATTACAGAGCAATTATTAACATTTTGTGGTGAATACTTGTATTTGCAATCATTGTGAGGAATTAGGACTGTTTACCAGCACTCAACACAATATATTATTGTTAGTGCTTTTGGATGACTCTAGAAATTCTTTTGGGAGGGAATTGTCACAATTCGATTGTGACAAATTATGTCACAATAATTGAAACAGTAATGAACTATAAACTGAACTTAATAACATGATCTGAGATCACTTCTCCCCCTCTTCAATAACCCCTGCCTTCAAGGTTATTCTCCTGCCTTAGCACTACTTTTTCTTTGTTTTCCAATTTACTCCTTATCCCAGTAGGTCAAGGTGAAAACAGATTTGCATCTAGAGTACAGAAACATGTGAATCTCACGTGGTCTCCTGTATGTTACTAAAAATGCCACATTATTATGGACACCGGTCCTGTGGCCGAGACTTTGCTCCCAGAAAGAAGCAAGAACTATTTGCACATCTCCCAGATCATTCATTCTCCAGGCCTGTGGGCATCCACATCAAAGCCTAACAGAATCACCCCCAATTTTCTCCTTTCTCTAGCTCCAAGCTGCTTTTGAAGATCAGAATCCTAAGTATGGATACTGCTTGAGGGTCTCTGCATTTCTGAGGAGTCCCCATAGGCTCAGAAAGTAACTCAGAAAGGGGTTGAAAGGTAGATGCCTTTTGGATTGAGAAATTGTTTTACTCGATTATAAGATAAAATACTTATGGTTTGGGGTTCAAATACTGGGACATGTATTGTACATCCTCCAAATCATCCCTGAAAATGAAGCAGAAGAACAATGTTCAATGTAGAACTGCCTATGACGCCAGATGATTTTGAGTCACATACAGAACCAGGCACAGCTCTCAAATATGATGGCTATTTGTGTTTCTAACAGGCAATCAGTTTCCCAAGAAGGGGCTGGGGGCAGGAAAAATTCAGTGCCTTCATTGTGGGCTGCTTCTTGTTGAATTTTGCTCCACAGGTTAGAAGACAGGTCCCAGTCTGCCTAATGAGGCACTGAAAGTCTAGGTGGAATAGATGTTTGCTGGAGCCTGTGGAGATTATAAAACAGAGCTCACTGCCTTATGTGGTCAGGAGAGGCAGGAGTGACAGCCAGTGTGAAGGTGTGGGAGTTGGAAGGAGCTTGGAACTCAACTTCTTTTGGCCTCTCAACTTGAGATTCACAAAGAAAAAAAGCGATGTCTCCTCGCCGAAAAGTAGGAGTTTAAAATTTATCTGAACTCTGAATATTATAGTTTGTTTTGGCTCCAGTGGCGTATTTCCGTAATGTATTTAAATCACAAATCTGTGCTCTGAGGCAAAGTCAAAACACCTGGTCTTAGTCCTGAGGTGAGGCCCTCAGAGCTGAACTAGTGCTTAGTGCCCTGTGCAGGGGCCATCATCAGATTTATATACAATGAAGAAGATTGTCTAGAACCTAGAGGGGTACTAAGTATAGTCTTATCATTTTTCTCCTTAGCAAAATGGAAGCTCCTCCTTGCACAGTGCGCCCCTTCCTCACTGTAGTTTATTCCAAGTGAGAAGAGTAAACATGACTTCCAAATGCCATCTAATGATATATGCATATCTAAAGGAGACAAGGATGACTGAATGCATCTTCATGTGTAGGAAGTGAAGTGTCTGTTGACATTAAATACTTCTTCATGAGAGAGAGGAGGCCCATGACGGAGATGATACCAGTATCTCCTTCTAGCACTCTAAATTCCCAGTGTTTACTACTGCTGTCTCTGAAACTGCAGCATCCTCACCAGGACCACACAGGGAACAAATGCAAGACACCTGAAGTCCCTTTAGCTGTATTCACAACACTTCGTAGATAAGATGAAATTAGAATATGAGAAGGATTTTTTATTTTTTATTTTTATTTTTTTTAAAGAGCACTCTGTTCTCCTGGTATCCTAGTATGAGTGCCTGAAAGTGCACATTGACTGGAAAGTTTCATATGAGCATCATTCCTGGGGTCCAGAAGACACTCTTGGCAAGCCTGGAGAGTGAAGTTGTTGAACAGGCAATGGAAGCATCCATGAAAGGCAGACAGCTGCTGCAAGAGTTTCCAACAGATAACTGGTCACTTGCACAGAGGGAAGGAACCATGGATTCCACGACAACGACACTTGTGCCAGCTTTTGTGTTTCCAGAAGTATTGAAAATGTAAGGGAACCACCAAGTGTAGAGTATGTGAAGTCTGACAGAGACGAGTTCCTAAGGTGTTTGTTTTGACAAATCACATTGCAAGTAATGTGAAAGCAGTTTGGATTAAAAATGTCCCCATCTAATGCCACATTAGGGCATGCATTTCTATAGCCTAAATCTGTTGGTGACATAAAAATATATGTTTTATTGGACACGTAATAGTTTGAACACATAATAGGTTCTAGAATGGATCTGCATAAAGTGAGAAGAAAGGATATAAAGGTAGAAGAATAAATGCATAAATGTTACAACAGAACACTGAGCTGGGCGGCTCTTCACCATGGACCTTGCTCGTATTTCTCACTACAGGCTTTCTCTGAGCTAACTTCCAAGTTCTTTCTTTCTCCTTCCAAACTTACCTGTATGTAATCTTGCTCCCAGGCCACCTGACTGATTTTTGATACTTGGAGATTTGCTTCCACCTCGGCATGACCAAGCCTTAGCCAAGTCACCGTTTACTCAGTTACAACATCTGTCCCCTGCAGAGGGCTGTCATAGCTTTCATAGCTCACAAACAGTCCAGCTTGAATCCAACCTTCTCTTTGGTCATTCGGAGTAGCAAGAAGCATTGTGTTTTGGATTTACTGCAGAATTCACACACTTAAATGTACAGTCAGTTTTTATAGCTCTCACTGCATCCAGATTGGGCAGTGACCTTGACTGAGACATCCTTTACTTCTGTTTCAGATCAATTTAGCCAGCATATAAAATCTCTGTGCACTGCCAGGGGAAAGTAAAGTGAAAGACTTCATGAAGAAATGGAGACGAGCCAAATAGTTGACCATGGTTGCTGTATAAATCTCGGACCCAGGGCTAAAAGGTGGCAATATAAATGCAGATGGTGCTGCTGCCATATTTTCCTGGCACACCTTTAAGCAGCACATTTCAAGTCTGCAGGGTTGGAATGGCATTTCCAAATATAGACTCAAAAAATCCTCAGGTGTTTGATTCTAGAATAGAGCTGGAAATTCTGTCTTGCAAATGCCTTCTGCAGCATGGGAGAAAACCCACTCTTTTGTGTCTCTTGCTTTAAACTCTCTATTTTCTGGAAACTAGAGAAAGATGTGGGCCTGTATTGAAAGACATGCCTTGAACAAGAATTATGGACCTATTGAAAACTTGTACATTGAGTAAACTCTCTGTTTACAGGAATCTATGGAAATATCAAAACATCGGAAGTGGCAGTAACTATAGAGGTCATTAACTAAGGAGATAACCTGAAAAATAAAGCTATATTTGCTAAAATCTGTATCTGATTAGTTTGGACTTCTTTTTCCTATCCCTTTCCTATTTTATATTTACATTTTTCTTCTAAAATTAAGTGATCGTTCACTATCTAATTTGTATTGTGGAAAATGTCCAATTCTAGACATTAGGATGGCTTTTCTTATTTGAGTCACATGCAAGAGGCAGCATGGTTTTGTGGAGACAGCATTACCTTTGGGGTCCAGCTCTTAGCTTTGGTGTTAACCCCAGGCATCTTTATCCTCATCATGATACCTCTCTGGGCCTCTCCTTATATTTGTAAAATGAGGGGGGCTTTCTGCAGTATCCTTCTGGCTACAAAATCTATCAGCTCTTTTTGTTGAAGGTTTCTTCTGTTCAGAGTTTCTAGGTTTCTCATAAACTGAGGAATCAGAGGTCAGGAGGAATGGAAACTTGTTATTCCATTTATAACATTGTTAGAAGTTTTAAATGCAAACACAAGTAATTAATTTGCCGTCATTGCTTGAATATATTATACTTTAAAATACTTAATTAAAAAATGCAATATTAAAAAAATGAATTTGTTATGAAAAATAAATATTGCTGCTTGTCTAAAATTTTTTTAGGACTCCTCAAATTACTGCCTATAGCAGCAGTTATCAGCCCCGGCTGTGCATTAGCATATCTTAGAAGGCTTTTAAATATGCCAATGTCTGCCCTCCCACCCTCAGAAGTTTTTGTCTAATTTGTCTGGTGTGGGGCCTGGGTACCAGTATTTTTTAAAAGACAAGATTAAGAATAAAATACATTCAGGTGGGTGTTGAACAATGAGAACACATGGACACAGGGAGGGGAGCACTACACACTGGGGTCCGTTGGGGGGAAATGGGGGAGGGGCGGGGGGGGGGGGAGGGGGGAAGAGATAACATGGGGAGAAATGACAGATACAGGTGAGGGGACGGAAGGCAGCAAACCACACTGCCAAGTGTGTACCTATGCAACAATCTTGCATGTTCATCACATGTACCCCCAAACCTAAAACGCAATAAAAAAAAAAAAAAGAATAAAATACATTCAGGTCCCAAGGCTGTTGTGTGCATGGCTCCTATGCATGGCTCACACCTACCCACCTTCCATAGCAACCACGTGTGGTCCCCTCCAATGTGCTGTCATGTTTCACACATGTCATTTCACACCGCTCCATCTTTGCATCTTCTGTTGTAGCCTGGAATGCCATGCCCCAAGTGGCTTAGCCTTTCTTGAGCCCCTCCCTACAGTATAGATTTCTTTATTAGCATAGCTCCTGTCCTGTAATGGCCTGCCCTGCACTCATTCTTCCTGTATTGTAAATATTTTATCCACCATTGCATATATTTATATTGATACATTTGATCATGTCTCTTGTGCTTCATGCCCACCCCTGCCCAAGTGGTTTCACATTGTACTTACCTTGACCTGTTAGGCCTCACATGATCTCTTTCTCATGGACCTCTCCTTACACCATGGCCTCTTTTCTCAAACCTCTCTTCCTACCACTTCGTGCTTGTTCACTTTACTTCAGCCTTACAAGCCTCTTGACCCTTAAACATGCCATGGTTATCTTCATCTCAGAACCTTTGCACATGCAATTCCTCCGCCTGGGGTGTCTTCCTTCCCTCATCCTCCCGTCTGCCTCCTCCTGAGCATTCAGGCCCTCGCTCAAATGCCATCTCCTCAAAGTGGCTGGCCTTAATCACGCTAGCTAGAGTAGCTTGTCCCTCACCCTACCATCCCAGTGGTACTCCCCATTCTACTGCTTCTATGTTCTTTGTAGGACTTGTGTCTCAAGTAATATTTTTGTTTTGTATACATGATTTTTCTAAGTCTCCAATTACTGGATTGTAAGTTTTATGAAGATAGGGACTTTGTCTATTGGGGGCTTAACACATATTGAACAGATGTAGGTTGTCTCCCTTATAAGATAGTGCAATGCCTAGTGTAGTGATTGGGAAGATGGTATTCATTAAGCACTTCGTGAATGATGTTTCTTTTTCTTTTCTTTTTCTTTTTTTTTAAATTGCATTTTAGGTTTTGGGGTACATGTGAAGAACATGCAAGATTGTTGCATAGGTACACACATGGCAGTGTAATTTGCTGCCTTTCTCCCCTCACCTATATATGGCATTTCTCCCCATGCCATCCTCCCACAACTCCCCACCCCCTGCTGTCCCTCCCCTATTTTCCTCCAACAGACACCAGTGTGTAGTGCTCCCCTCCCTGTTTCCATGTGTTCCCATTGTTCAACACCCGCCTATGAGTGAGAACATGTGGTGTTCAATTTTCTGCTCCTGTGTCAGTTTGCTGAGAATGATGGCTTCCAGGTTCATCCATGTCCCTACAAAGGACACGAACTCATTGTTTTTGATGACTGCATAATATTCCATGGTGTATATGTGCCACATTTTCCCTGTCCAGTCTATCATCGATGGGCATTTGGGTTGGTTCCAGGTCTTTGCTATTGTAAACTGTGCTGCAATGAACATTCGTGTGCATGTGTCCTTATAGTAGAATGATTTATAATCCTTTGGATATATACCCAGTAATGGGATTGCTGGGTCAAATAGAATTTCTATTTCTAGGTCTTTGAGGAATCGCCACACTGTCTTCCACAATGGTTGAACTAATTTACATTCCCACCAACAGTGTAAAAGTGTTCCTATTTCTCCACATCCTCTCCAGCATCTGTTGTCTCCAGATTTTCTAATGATTGCCATTCTAACTGGCGTGAGATGGTATCTCAATGCAGTTTTGATTTGCATTTCTCTACTGACTGGTGATGATAAGCATTTTTTCATATGTTTGTTGGCCTCTTGTATGTCTTCTTTTGTAAAGTGTCTGTTCATATTCTTCGCCCACTTTTCAATGGGCTTGTTTGTTTTTTTCTTGCAGATCTGTTTTAGTTCTTTGTAAATTCTAGATATCAGCCCTTTGTCAGATGGGTAAACTGCAAAAACTTTTTCCCATTCTGTTGGTTGCTGATTCACTCAAATGACTGTTTCTTTTGCTCTGCGGAAGCTGTGGAGTTTGATTAGGTCCCATTTGTCTATTTTGGCTTTTGTTGCCAATGCTTTCGGTGTTTTGGTCATGAAGTCCTTGTCTATGCCTATGTCCTGAATGGTTTTGCCTAGATTTTCTTCTAGGGTTTTTATGATGTTAGGTCTTATGTTTAAGTCTTTAATCCATCTGGAGTTAATTTTAGTGTAAGGTGTCAGGAAGGGGTCCAGTTTCTGCTTTCTGCACATGGCTAGCCAGTTTTCCCAACACCATATATTAAACAGGGAATCCTTTCCCCATTGCTTGTTTTTGTCAGGTTTGTCAAAGATTGGATGGTTGTAGATATGTTGTGTTGCCTCTGAGGCCTCTGTTCTGTTCCATTGGTCTATATCTCTGTTTTGGTACCAGTACCATGCTATTTTGATTACTATAGCCTTGTAGTATAGTTTGAAGTCTGGTAGTGTGATGCCTCCTGCTTTGTTCTTTTTGCTTAGAATTGCCTTGGCTATGCGGGCTCTCTTTTGGTTTCACATGAAATTTAAGGTGTTTTTTTCCAGTTCTGTGAAGAAAGTCATTGTTAGCTTGATGAGGATAGCGTTGAATCTGTAAATTACTTTGGGCAGTATGGCCATTTTCATGATACTGATTCTTCCTAACCATGAACATGGAATGTTTCTCCATCTGTTTGTGTCCTCTCTTATTTCGTTGAGCAGTGGCTTGTAGTTCTCCTTGAAGAGGTCCTTTATGTTCCTTGTTAGTTGTATTCCTAGGTATTTTGTTCTCTTTGTAGCAATTGTGAGTGGCAGTTCATTCCTGATTTGGCTCTCTTTAAGTCTGTGATTGTTGTATAGGAATGCTTGCGATTTTTGCACATTGATTTTGTATCCTGAGACTTTGCTGAAGTTGGTTATCGAATGATGTTACTTAGACATTTCTCCTTCAGAAGCAGGACCACTAAAGAGCTTCAAATGATATTCAAAATATTAGGCTGATTTACATTTACATTTTCTTAATTTTTAGTTTAAAAAAGAGAAATATTTTTTTCTTTTTATAATAAAATTTTATATGTCTCTCCCTAATTTAAAAATCTCTATTTCTAGGATGCACACCTATGGAGACTCCCTCTTTCTATTTCAGAAAATAACAAAGGGAAAGGGATTCCTCTGGAAATCAGTTTTGTCTAGGAGTCCCAAATTTTAACTGACACCACTGCTCTGAGCCAATGTGAGACGAAACAGATTTTTTTTTGAACATCTAAATTTGGAGGGCCCAGCATGGTGGCTCACGCCTGTAATCCCAGCACTTTGGGAGGCCGAGGTGGGGCAGATCATTGGAGGCTAGGAGTCTGAGACCAGCCTAGCCAACATGGTGAAACCCCATCCCTACTTAAAAGAAAAAAATACAAGGCTAGGTGTGGTGGCTCACGCCTGTAATCCTGGCACTTTGGGGGGCCGAGGTGGGTAGATCACGAGGTTAAGAGATTGAGACCATCCTGGCCAACATGGTGAAACCTCATTTCTACTAAAGATACAAAAATTAGCTGGGCATTGGTGGTGTGCACCTGTAGTCCCAGCTACACAGGAGGCTGAGGCAGGAGAATCGCTTGAACCCAGGAGGCAGAGGTTGTAGTCAGCCAAGATCACTTCACTGCACTGTAGCCTGGTGACAGAGCAAGACTCCATCTCAAAAGAAAAAAAAGAAAAGAAAAAATACAAAATTAGCCAGGTGTGGTGGTGTGTGCCTGCAATCACAGCTACTTGTGAGTCTGAGACAGGAGAATCGCTTGAATCTGGGAGGTGGAGGTTGCATTGAGCCAAGATCATGCCACTGCACTCCAGCCTGGACAAGAGAGCAAGACTCCATCTCAAAAAATAAAAATAAAAAATAACAAACCTGGGGGCTTTCTAAATACGTAGGTGATTGAACAGGTGAAGATGGAGAGTGTTGAGACCAAGAGTGAACCCTGTGTCCTTGCAGAGCTCTGCCTGAGCGACTGGACCCAGGACTCCCTT